TAATTGCATTTTTTTTTCCACACCACGCTTTATTTGGTATTGAAGTATGAAGTGTGACCGGGCAGCACATTTTCCTTTTTCTCCCGCAGTTAACCTCATCTAAAATTTAAGCAGCGTCAGAAGGAGCTTCCCGATTGAGCTCCCTGGCCATGTGGCAATAGTGGAAAAACGAGGAGCGGGGAGAAATGATTGAGATGGCTGTGCTTAGAAAAGTAAGCAAGTCACTGGGTTTAAATGAAATGAACCCTGTAGTTTTATGACCAGGAAACAGGAAGACTTTTGTGCTTGTTACTTAATACATCTGGCTCTAGGCATTTGGGAATTCCAATAGTTGAAAAAAGAAATCAGTTAACTGAAGGCTAGGAACCTTTTCCCCACCCCAAAATGCCCTGGGGTAATGATGCACATCAGAAGACTTTGTTAGCAGTTATAATGCACAAAGATACAAATCGTGAAAGGCATTTTACCCCACTAAGGTCTGCCTATGACACCTTGCTTGGCATGCCTTTTTTATTTCTCCCATCTCTGACAGGTTGTGGTTTTTTCAGGTCAAAGAACTTGCTGGAGGGGTACAAATCAGTCATGACATATATATATCAAGGCTTCACTTAGCCACAGAGCCACTCTACTTCTTTGTGAGGAAATTGTATTTCTCTGTGAAATACTGAGCAAACAATAAAAACCTAGTAGGAACACAGTCTGCATTTTTTTTTTTTTTATTGTAAAGCTTCACAGTTTTTAAGTTCAAAGGTCCTACGATCTGAAATTAAGTTGAGTTCTGGTACATTTTCACATTCCATAAGAGTTTGCAATGACACATTTCATGCATAAAGGGAGGATTAAAAAGAAAAAAAAACTGCTTATGAACTGAATTTTTAATACTCTGAATTTTTGTGGTTTGTAACTCAGAATCTTAAATTTCTTTTAATTTGCATCACGCCCTAGGGCACTGTGGTTAATAAATTCACGCAGAGTGCTTAAGAATCTCTGAAAATAGAACATCTGCGTGTGGACTCTTAAACACTAGGACTATGAGTTTGTAGCAATGCTGGGTCCTTCTCTAACCAACAGTGATCCAAGAATATTTCTCATACCTTTTTTTTTTTCAAGTTTTTATTTAAATTCTAGTTAGTTAACATATAGAGTTATGTGGGTTGCAGGATCTCATACCTTTAAAAAGTGTCTTTCTCTGTCACTACCAATGAACAACAACCAGTTATGGAGTGATGAATGCGTATCAGGCACAGTGCTGAACATAATCTCTTGTAATTCTGACAAACACCCTATGCAGTTGGTGGCATTACCATCTTGCAGATGAAGAAACTGAGTTTAAAGAGAGATTAAACAACATGGCCAAGGTTACCCAGCGAATGGAACATCAAAGACAGGCTTTGGGTTGCTTCCCAACCTCTTGATCTGCATCTTTATGCTACACAGACTGAAAACAACGCTGCCCTTTCACTAGAGAAAGGCTTACAGGCAAAATACACGAAGAATACCACTGGGAGATACAACAAACATTGTCCTTAACATTCATAGGCTATCACTAATACACATTATGTGCAAAGGACAGAAAGCTTCAGCTTGTGGGTCTTGGACCAACCTTTTTTCAAAATAGCCTTCGGCATCAGTTAGTCTCTTATTATTGGGAAACATTCTCCCTCCTGGCCTGTGCTTAAGCTACATAATTATACTTTTTTTTAACATTTATTGATTTTTGAGAGACAGAGACAGAGCATGAGCGGGGAAGGGGCAGAGAGAGAGGGAGACACAGAATCGGAAGCAGGCTCCAGGATCTCAGCTGTCAGCACAGAGCCCGATGGGGCGCTGGAACCCATGAACTGCGAGATCGTGACCTGAGTGGAAATTGGTAGCTTAACAGGCGCCCCATTAAGCTACATAATTACAAGCCAGCGGGCATGCGTAACAAAGGGCTCAAGAGGCTAAGGATCTCTAGGGTCCCCCATTCCAGCCTGTTTCAGAATCTGCCCATCTGACCTTCATTCCTGCTCGGCTACAAGTAACTCGCTGCATGTACAGGTCATGCAAACAGCTGAAGCATGATCCTTCTTCTTATAAATCAATGCTCATGACCCTTGAAATCACGGATTCTTTCATTTGTACCAACTGGGCCAGGGCTGTGACATATGGAACATCCTCCCTCCAATTAAACCCATAAGTTGCTTGGACACGGAAAAATAAACATATGGAAGCAAAAATCCATCACTGGATTTTAACAGAAGGAGGAGAAAGTAAACAGTGGTATGGAGTGGACACCTGCAAAAATGACCAGAAAAGAGAGGATGAGGCAGTGACAGCACAAGATGCCCTGTTAATGGTCCTTTTTGAACTGAATGGCACGTCTTGAAAATGAAATAGGAAAGCCCTGCAAATTGAAAAAAGCAAATGTCTTCTGATCCTTGTCTAAACTCTGGAATGAACAAGCAAGCCTGATTGTGATCAGTGTCAAACAATATTTACCGATTTCTATGAAACTGTGAATGTAAAGAAAGGGATGTGAGTCATGAGCAACTGAGAGGAAATTAGCTGCAGTATTTACTGTGCAGACTCTGATTCACCATTATTTTGGGAGAAAGCCTGGTCGTTTTTAGTCAATGCATTTACATTCCGTGGGCTTCTCAATTTCATGAAGAAACATTAGCAAAGAAATGACTTGTGAGTCAATTTAAGTAATATATTACACGCAGGATTCAGCAAAACCAGTGAGACTCCTACATGTTATTTCTTAAAGCAAAATTCAGAGGAGAAATAAATTACCAAAAAAAAAAATGTTAATATAGGTTGAGGTCTACCTTAAGGAAACATGATAAGCAATAATTTAGTTTTATTAAATAGATCAACTAAGGGTTAGGTACATGCCTTGGCTGGGATTCACTATTCTCCCTCTCTGTCCCCCCGCCAGCCCCCCCCCACCAGCCATGGACTCCCACAGTTACCAATCATAATGTCCATCAAAAGAGAATCAGTTAAATGAATACTGTCTTTCACATAATTGATGCTAGGCAGCTTTAAAAAGAATGAAAAGAGATGTGTTTATAAAGCGACCTGAAGAAGTAAGACATAGTATGAAATAGTGTGCATAGAAAGCTTTCTCTTTCTGGAAAGCTTAGGATATACACTGAAAAGTCTCACTGAGCCAGTATCCTTCTCTTGACAGCGGTTATCATGGGAAAGGAATGGGGACTACCCTAGTTCACATGTTTCCGTGGTTTGCTTTTTTTCATTTGTTTTCACAATGGATAGGTATAGCTTTTGGTAAACAGTTAAAATAACTAACTATAAATAGAAATGATTTTGAACAAAAGTGTATGCCTGTCATTTCTAACATTTATTTATTACAGCTTTGGTCTTCAAGGCAAATTTTCAACTAGGAACAACATTATTCATATCTCTCCTGGAAACTGAGTATATCTTATTTCAATTGATCTTGGTCACAGGGCTCACAGAGACACAATTGTAATTATATGACTGCATACATGCTCTCTTACTGTCCCTCACACAGATGGATATCGGCTGTGAGATGATGTGTTATTATTTTTAGCGGTGATTTCTGATAAAGAGCCTCAATGCCCAATAGTCTGCTCCCCTTGGCCACCCTTTTGTGTTGTTTGTGTGAGATTCACAACCACAAAGTGGGGAGAAAAGAGGAGCTTTCTTATTTTCTTAAAGAAAGATGGTGCACATTGATAGAAGCTGAAAACGCACAGAGAATGAAGAACACCGTGGTATGATTACAAGGGTCGCTTTAGGAACAATATGGCTGTTTTTCTAATAGACATTAAAGCATGAGACAGATAGAACGGTAGGAGTTATTTAAGGCTGCGATGTCGGAGTGTGATAACACATGGTCTGCTATTATAGGCCATTGTTCCACTGCAGTGACTCCCAGTGATGGCAGGAGAGCATAGGGAGGGCAGCAAAAGCAGCCAGAGCTGTATGAGTAAGGCTTTATGTCATTATAATACACAGGGGGCCAGGGCAGGTGGGTGGCAATCTATATGGACTCATCCATTCTCACGTGGGCAAAAAAGTATGGTACGTCTGTGCTCGGATCAGGAAAGCTACATAGCCGAAGTCCAAAACGAAAATAATGCAATTTATTAGCTCTGGGAAGCCCAAACCTGATAGAGTTCCCTTCCATATACAGCATGTGACATAATTTTCCTTACAAATAGCAGGCAGGTTTAGCGTAGAAAACTGTGAAACAAAGATAAGTGAAAATAGCAGCGGCAGTAAAAAGATTAGTTGTAACTGTATTACGGAGAGGGAACCAGCACCAAAGAATCTGGCTTCTCTCTTCACAATTCATCCATCTGTTTATCCATCCAGTGCAAATAAGCATATGTATGTATGTGTATGTACATACCTACATAATTTACATATAAACTTATACTAACATTACATATAATTATGTGTATAAATAAATATATCGTATCTATATAACAGATCGATACATAAAATTTAGAAAACAAAATGCCATCATCATGTTCAAATGGCCTTGAAATAGAAATCTAGGGGTGCCTGAGTGGCTCAGTAGGTTAAGCGTCTGACTCTTGATTTCAGTTTGGGTCAGGATCTCAGAGTTGGGGGATCGAGCCCTGCATGGGGCTACGTGCTGAGCCTGCTTGGGATTCTCTGCCCCTCTCCCCTGCTCACGCTCTCTCTCAAAATAAATAATACACATTAAAAAGAGAGTAATCTAATTGTATGCCTTTATAAATGAAACTGTGATCAACATCCTTAAATCTTAGTACATAACTTTATTTCCTTAGAGTAAATGATCAGATCAGAATCACTGTATAAAGGTACATAAATTAGTTATAAAAAGTATTTTTCACTTAACCTGAGCCTCCTCTGAACCCACAGCTTCACTAACCAAAGTTCTTTGTCTGAGACTGTTCAGTGCCCCTTAAAGCAATGTTGCCAAATCCAGAGCAGCTCAGGTTCTCCTCTAAGTGTCTAAAATGATTCATACTTACTTTCCGAGGTTTCACTTTATCTTGCAGATCATACTGGCCGATTCCTTTGTAGCTGATTCCAAGCCACCAAGGAAGTCCTTGTTTATCCTGGAAAATGGAAAAGGATGAGAACCGAGCCCTTAATTGTTCAATCTTCTAGAGCTGAAGATCTACCAATTTCATAATTTACCAAGTATCAGCTAGTCAAAATAAAGCTGGCTTGGTAAACAAAACATTACTTACACACCTAACTTGTTTTTAAAATGCCTTCAAATAACATCTTTAAATTAAAACAGATTAATACTATCAATACCACCAAAAAGAATGAAACATTACTGTCTTGACTGAACAGCTGGAGAGAAGAAATAAAATATAAAAACTAATCCAGAGTATAAAGCCAGTTATCCATTTAAAAAAGAAAAGAAAGAAAAAAGAGAAAGAAAAAAAAAAGCTCTCTGCTCTCTTGATTAGAAACCAACTATAAAGGTCAGGGAAGTTTCCAAAGAATTATAAAGATGAGAAAAGAGGTCCCAAACCTGATGTTTATAATCCAGTTAACAGTGAGCATGGGAATACTGAAAAGCTCTTTTGGAGAACTGTATGATTCAATGGCAGGATGTTTGAAAAATCACTTTGAGGTACATATGGGGAGGGGAGGAATTTTTTATTTCATAAATCTTTTTTTTTTTTCCAAAATCTTTTAGGTTTTGCCAAAGTAAAGGACGCATTGACACAAGGAAAGAAAAATTTAGGCTTAAACATATACCTGTATACAAACAAATTAAGAATCAGGAGAAATTAGAGGCGCTTGGGTGGCTCAGTCGGTTGAGTGTCCAACCTGATTTTGGCTCAGGTCATGATCTCATGGTCCATGAGTTCGAGCCCCACATTGGGCTACTCACTGACAGTGAGGAGTCTGTTTGGGATTCTCTCTCTGCCCCTCTCCTGCTCACACACACACACACACACACACACACACACACACTCTCTCTCTCTCTCTCTCTCAAAATGAATAAACTTAAAAAAAATAATCTGTAGAAATTAAAGTTGAATTGGTACTTATTTTTAGTACAAGGTGCCCTCATTATGCAAGTATTTATTATTCAATCCCCTACCATTCTGAATTGCAAACACTGTTGTAACTGGAAAAGTCACTCAAGATTGATCAACGGTAAAATTATTCCCTTCAAACAAGATTCCCTCCTTAACACTGCTTTATCCCTTACCATCTCAAAATATTTCTTAGTCTCTCCCTGCTTGAAAACACCTGAAAACAATACACAAATACAAACTATACCAATTGAAAATTGGTATTGCAAATCCTGCAAAAATTTGAGAACTTTATGAAGTATTGAAATGACAATGTAGAGTTTATGATTCTTGGGACACCCAGCTGGCTCAGTTGGTGAAGCATGTAACTCTCGATCTTGGGGTTGTGAGTTCGAGCCCCACGTTGGGTGTAAAGATTACTTAAAAATAAAATCTTAAAAGAAAAAGAAAGTTTATGATTCCCAGATAAAGGGGCTATCAAGAGAATATCTGGGGAGCGCCTAGGGGGCTCAGCTGGTTAACCATCTGACTTCAGCTCAGGTCATGATCTCGCGGTTTGTGAGTCTGAGCCCTCCATTGGGCTCTGTGCTGACAGCTGAGTCTGGAGCCTGTTTTAGATTCTGTGTCTCCCTCTCTCTCTCTGCCCCTCCCCAGCTCACACTCTGTCTCTCTCTCTCTCTCAAAAATAAATAAACATTTAAAAAAATTTATTTTAAAAAGAGAGGGGTGCTTGGGCGGCTCAGTCAGTTAAGTGTCCGACTTTGGCTAAGGTCATGAACTCACAGATCAAGGGTTTGAGCCCCACATTAGGCTCTGTGCTGACAGCTCAGAGTCTTTAACCTGCTTCAAATTCTGTGTGTGTGTCTCTCTCTCTGCCCCTCCCCCCAATCATGCTCTGTCTCTCTCTGTCTCAAAAACACATAAACATAAAAAAATTTTAATTAAAAACAAAGAGAATATCTGGTAGCATTAGGCAGGTGAACAACTGGGGAAGAGAAATAGCAGCTAAAATAGATAAAAGGAATAGATGTGCCAAAAGAGAATAATCTGAGTATGTTAGGATTAATAGGGATTTGTGGAAAACATCTGAACACAGCAAGTATTTTGCAAAAAGAGCGTGCTTTATAATTTGCTATCAATGACAAGGCATAATCAGGCTTTCGTAAAAAAAAAAAAAAAAAAATCAATCGTATTTTATTTTATTATTTTTTAAATAAGTAATTAATTTTGTTTTTTATGTTTTTTATGTTTTTTATGTTTTTATGTTTTTATGTTTTTATGTTTTTATTTATATTATTCACTAATTCCCAAAGTCACATGGGTATTATGAAAGCTTTGTCATGTAAAAGTATTTACCTTTACTGCGTAATAATGGACTCCATAGGTTGGTAGAGCTTCTACTATTTTCATATACCTATGAAAAATGAATAGTATATATTATAATCTCTTCATAAATTAGAGGATCCTTTTGGGAAAAATGATGTACAGAAGCACAATTTGTATGTACTTTCCTCATTACAACCATGACTAATGTCTTTGACTACAGTAGAAATAGAATAAGCCATTTTAGGGAGTAATATATTTTACCTTACCCAAATGTTAGGAAGTTGATAACAAAACGTCAATTTCCAAAAGCTACAGGAAATGTTAATTTCTGCATATTAAGATTTCTACGGCTTAGAACATACTGTACTGTATCGTAAACCCAAATTGCAAGTATTTTTTAAACTAAGCACTTAATGATGCAAAGCAATGAGAATCAGCTTCTGGGTCATGCTTGTAGTAAGTAAAAAATAAAACAATTCTGGGGCACCTGGCTGGCTTAGTCGGTAGAGCACATGGGGTTGATCTTGGGGTTGTGAGCTGGAGCCCCGTGTTGGGCATAGAGATTACATGCACACGTACATACATACATAAGTACATAAACAGTTAAAAAAATAAACTGATCCCATTTACTGACTACTAAACTCTCAGGAATATATGCTTTACTCTTAGGTCTAAACTCTAATAAGAAATATGTACCTAAAAAGGGTGAATTTTATTATATACTGTATATACAATTTTGTTGTATTTAAAAAATGTGTTCCCCAAAATAAAAATTAATGATGCTACTATTTACTATTTTTAATTCAACAAATATTTATTGTGTACTTCTAAGGTTTTATAGAGTGAATTATATTGTGTAAGACTTCCTCTCTGTTCACAAAGACTTGAGGTTCCTGTTTAGTACAAGCGGACTTTTTTTTTTTTAACTTTTTAAAAAATGTTTATTTATTTTTGAGAGCTAGAAAGACAGAGTACAAGTGGGGGAGGGACAGAAACAGAGGGAGACACAGAATCTGACAGGCTCCAGGCTGTGAGCTGTCAGCACAGAGCTCAGCACAGAGCCCAACACGGGGCACCAACTCACCGACCACGAGATCATGATCATGATCATGGCTGAAGTCAGCCACTTAACCGAATGAGCCACCCAGGCGCCCCTCAAGTGGACTTTTTAATGCCATTTTGAATATCAATTGCTCTGGGTTTTGTAATCAATACTTCGATACTTTTAAAAAGTAAATGACCTATATGTAAATGAATGTAAGAAGATGTTAGGTACATGGGGGCTCCTGGGTGGCTCAGTCGGTAAGCATTCGATTTCAGCTCAGGTCATTATTTCACGGTTTGTGAGTTCAAGCCCTGCATTGGGCCCTCTGCTGTCAGCAGAGAGCCCGCTTAGGATCCTCTGACCCCCTCTGCCTCTCCCCTGCTTGTGCTCTCTCTCTCTCTCAAAAATAAACAAACATTAAAGAAAAGAGAGAGAGGTTAGTGGTAAATGTGCCAACAACATTCAACAAGTACACTGCACAGCCAAGATCCTAACAGAGAGTTGGATTCCACGGTCTAGAGCTTTAACCACCAAGTTAGTCTCGTATTTGGAGCCACAACAATAATGATCAGGGGAAGTAAAAGGACTCTGCATTTAAGCAAGGGCACTTCATAACATGCTCATTAGCCTAACCTAAAATCCTTCAGGGAAAATTTTTACACCTCTTTTGTCCCTCCCAGAAAACAGGAACAATGAGTTCAAACGTCAAGGGTTCAATTTCAGGACTGCTAATTTTTGATTTCTGCCTTGGAGATCACAGGGTGTTTTGTGATGAAAAGGAGATTAGTGCCAGTGGTGGAGGTGTGAGGGAAATCTACACACTGGCCAGAGGAATAGCAATCTCCAAGTTCTTATTTTGGTTCTTCCGTGCTCGGAGCGACATTCTTATTTTGGTTCTTCCGTGCTCGGAGCGACATTCCCGCAGGTTTTTACAAGAATGTCTATGGCCATAAAAGTTATTCTACAATTACTAGAGCAATAATGCTATATTCATTTTTATAATTTTTAAAATTTAAATTTATAAATTTAGTTTTTTATAATTTTAAAACTTTAACGTAGCTTGTGAACTATTGTTAATAAATGAATGGTTACTCTATAAGTCTAAAATGCAGAAATAGGGGCACCTGGCTGGCTTAGTCGGTAGAGCATGTGACTCTTGATCTCTGGGTTGTGAGTTCAAGCCCCACATTAGGTATAGAGATTACTTAAAAATAAAAACTAAAAAAAAAAATAGAATAAAATGCAGAAATATATCACTATGGTCCGTTATTGGTAGCACGAAGATATAGACAACCCAACACCAACACTGTATGCTTCACCCAAAATAGAGTCACAAGCCGGGCAACCACACATGGCCTCCAGGTAGGTTTTCTTTGGCTAAGATTGTAATAAAATTTTCTTAAAATTGCTTTGCAATGTTTAAATTGGGATTTAAAAATCAGAATTTCCAGTACTTCTTAGACAGCATCAGGTCTGACATTAGGCCTGATTTCCGGAGCTGAATCACCTTGCCTCTGCCCAGGGTAATAGCTCTCCAGATCACCTCAATCCCCACCATTCCCTATTATCCTGCACCTGGCCTACATGTCTCATTTTTGCTACCTACCTGACACTGGTAGGCCTCTGAATTGATGACATCAACTATGGAATGACCCAAGGCATTTTATAATTCATATGAAGGTATTTCTAACCAGATGGGGACTATACACAAACAAAATATACAACAGAAATCATTTCATATGATTTCTTCAAATAGGAGACATTAAAATTATATCTAAGCAAAAGGAAAGACAGATACTTACTGAACCACAGCTTGACCCCGGGTCAGACCTTTGATTTTCAAATAATGCTCAATCACCCTGTCCTCACTGTGAAACAAGCAAATGAGAAATATGACAATGTATGATTATATGAGATACAGACTCATTTTCAAGATTCTCAGGTGGCTTATTGAGAAACAAGGAAAATGCCTTCACTAACCTGTTTGGGATACAGAAGCTGGATGACTTTTGTTTTTGTAGAACATGGATTTCTGAACCTCAGACAGGACTACCTCATCATGATTTCTGATTTAAATTTTATATGCTATATAATATATTAATATATTTTAAAACTTAATCTATTGGAAAAGAACAGGATTTCAATTTATCAAATGAAAAACTAGTATTTTTTGCCATAATTGAATGGGACAAAACAAATACAAAACAATGTCACTAAATGCTAAGTAGTGAGCCTTGCTAGGGAAATTAAAAGGCTTAAAAAAAGAGATCAGCAAGTATTAAATATATTTTTAAAAACTATCCATGAAGATTTAGAAAGGATTAAAACTGTTCTGAGTCTTGTGCAATCCAAAACACTCTCTTGTCACTCACTACCTGGGGACACAATGTTTTCAGAGAAAACCCTTCATTATTGTCCCAGCATAAAACTTGTTGACTGGAGGGGCACCTGGCTGGCTTAGTCAGTAGAACATGAGACTCTTGATCTTGGGGTCATGGGTTTGAGCCTCACATTGGAGGCAGAGATTACTTAATAAAAAAAAAAAAAGTTAAAAAAAAAAAACAACTTGTTGGCGAGAAAGGCAGAACTAGGCTGCAGTCTGTCACCTTTAGAAAACAATTTTTTTAAAATGTTTATTTTATTTATTTTTGAGAGAGACCATAAGCAGGGCAGGGGCAGAGAGAGAGGGAGACACAAAACCTGAAGCAGGCTCCAGGCTCTGATCTCTCAGCACAGACTCAGATGAGGGGCTTGACCTCATGAACCACAAGATCATGACCTGACCCGAAATCGGACGCTTAACCGACTGAGCCACCCAGGCACCCCTGAAGTCTGTCACCTTTGCTGTCACTGAGCTACTGTTCTTTTCTTTCAGATACCTATCATATCTCAAATATAACCTAGAAAGATAAATGTTTTTATCTCTACACAACCAGTAATCAGTGGTAAAAGGCCTTTTTTTTTTTTTTCTTTTCTTAAGAAACTATCACTTAACAATGATTTGTTTGGAAGATTCCAGACTGAGGAAGGAATGTAGCCTCAGTACACACTTTCACTCTTTATTTGGGAACTGCAGTCCAACTTCCATTATTAAAGCTATTCATGGGGGAGCCTGGGTGGCTCAGTCACTTAAGCGTCTGACTCTTGATTTTGGCTCAGGTCATGATTTCATGGTTCATGAGTTTGAGTCCTGTGTTGGGCTCTGTGCTGTCAGCGTGGAGCCTGCTTGGGATTCTCTCTCTCTCTTTCTCTGCTGGTTCCCCACGTCTCCACTCAAAATAAATGAACTTAAAAAAAAAACCACTGTTCATGTTGAATATTTATTTTGTAATCCATTTTTTTTTATGGAAAGTAAAACTATTTTCAAGATTCAAAGCCCTAAATCAAGGAAACTATATTTAAAGGGGCTGTAACTAATTCAAGGGGGAAAAACATATCCTACCAGGAAAAACATTGAACGGAAAATGGGTACTATGGCTTCGTTAAAATAATTAATGAATTTAATGAATTTAATGAATTAATGCATTTAATGGAATTAAAATAATCCCAACAAATGGAATCACTCAAAATACACAACAATTTTTGGCCATGGGAGAAACCTCTGTTCACTCAGGTAATTTCTGGGTAGTGAGAAAACCTGTATCCAAGGAAATTTGTATTTTATGACACGTATATTACACGCTGCTAGATTAAGGCCACATCACACAGTGACTGCACACGTACTGAGCATTATGTTCCCTTAAAAGCATATTCTATACAGACTTTTTGCATGTGCGAATGAGAAAGCATGCAGCCACTCTTCACTAATGACTACAATCGTGGTACAATGATCTCCAGTAAGTTCTGACAAGACCCTTTCACGGAAAGGATCAGGTCTACTTATGGTCACCCTGACACATGTGATTTGATACTTTCTGCACTCCTATCTCTTTTAGTTTCCTGAAAAGCACACAGTTCTCAATGGAGGCTATGACAACAGGGTCACCTGTTGTCCTGCTTTGGCTTACCAGTAAGCCAGGGATGGATGTTCCTGAAGAGTTTTGGTTGGAAAGGCTGGTAATGTCTTTAAGTCTTTCCTGGCATTTTCATCACTGAAAAGAAGAGTAATGCAGTAATGTCAGTCGCTGTTACCTAAACTATCATCCAAGCTAGTCACCAGATGAAATCTGGTAAGTAATGACACTACACCGGGCTCTAGCAAAATGTGGTCAGCACATATAAGGCTACGGATTCAATTCCCCCAAAGGACAACCCGCCGAACCATGTGACATTTTGAAGTTTTTAAAAAGACACACACAAAAATTAAAATAACGGTATTCAGGTGCCATAATCCCATTTTCCTTACCCTCCTGATAAACCTGCAGCTACTTTTATTGTATATTTCTATGTATAGCTATTCTGTTACCTAATTATTATTATAACTGTGGATATCCCATATTCCATTTTCACACAGCATTCTTCAAATTTTATTACACACCTTCTCTGTGTGCCTATAGCACTCCCATATTGATCTTCAGTGGCACATAATATTCACCATGCTGGAATACTGATTATCATAAAACCACTCATATAGTATTATCACTTTCTCATAAAAGGTATCAATTCAATAAAAAGGTTGGTATAGACTTTACTATTACTTGTCTGTTGTTTCCTTACCATGCTCTGAAATAAAATGGATCAAGTTGGCCATTTGTGAAAAACACTTGAAAGAAGAGGACTTGAAAACGTGTGTCCAATGAAACCCCAGATATCCTTCAAATTGCATCAAGTGAACTAAAAATGTACCTCTGTAAGGTCAGCTATTATCTCACTATAGCAGGGCAACATTCTAGTTGTCAAAAGAGACAATTTTGGGGGGCGCCCAGCTGGCTCAGTCGAGAGAACATGCAACTCTTGATCTCGGGGCTGCGAGTTCGAGCCCCATGTTGGGTGTATACAGCTTACTTAAAAATAAATAAATAAAAAAGAGAGGGGTGTGGTCTTCATGGAACTTAACAGAAGGAAGAACAGGTAATACGATGCAGTCATAGCTGGTCCTCTCAAAAACTGCCCCAAGTATTTAAGGGTAGTCTATGAAAAAACAGACATGACTCTCTGGGGTCTATCAGAGCCTGGGATAAGTACATGAACAGCTATTAAAAATCCTGACCAAACTGGCATCCATCAATCAGCCCATTGGTAGCTCTTCAACTGTCCACAGCTTCATCTCTTTCCCAGAACCTATCGTTTGTGGAGAGTCAGGCACCATGCAAGACACTTTTTAGGCATTATATACCTGACCTAAGTCTCACCATGACTCCTTCCAGGTGGTAGGTACTGTTATTATCCATGCTTTACAGGTAAGAGGGAGAGGCTTCCAGAAGTAAGCCCCTCACTCAGTGTCTCACAGCCACTATGTAGAGAAGCCAGAAGGCAAACCCAGTCTGCTTGGCTTTAAAAGACAAGATCAGGTGGTGCCTGGGTGACTCAGAAGGCTGAGCATCCCACTTCGGCTCGGGTCACAGTCTCGTGATTCATGAGTGTAAGCCCCGCATCGGGCTCTGTGCTGACAGCTCAGAGTCCACTTCTGGATCCTCTGTCCCTCCTCCCCCACTCCTGTTCTCTCAAAAATAAATAAACATTCACAAAAAATGACAAGACCATAACCTGATTCCCTGACAGACCCTCGGAATGGCATTCCAGAGAGCACATTCTCATCTTGGGCAAGGCATAGCTCCCCTTCACCCTCACCCCCTGGTTACAAAGGAAAACACGGAAGCAATTATTTTCAAGATCCATCATTTATGCATTTTCACACCAGCTTCCCGGGGGTTCGCCTCAGTGATTCACATTCAAAGCGATGAATGTCTCGGCTGGATGATGGAACACTGAACTTCAAGTGAATCTCCTCCGGAAGCATTCATTCAACACTTGCAGATCAAGTGTCACAGATTAACCCAGGAAACCGAGCACGGGCTTTGGCCAGGGTCTGTTTGAGGCACAGTGTATGTGCCGTATTAGAAACTGCTCATCCTGTCACCACATCAGGCTTGGTGTATACATGGCTCTCCGTCAATGTCCACAGAAATGTTGTGTTTTGGTTTTACTGTCTCATTTCCTGACCATGCCACTGAGCAACCTATACATACACTTACTCTCTTTCACTAAGAACAGATAGAGTGGAGTATCCCCTCGCGTGGAGACACCATGATTTGCACCTGTCAACATTACATTCAAAACGAAGGTTGTGGCCTTAAGGTTCATCTTAGAGGTGAAAGATCCGGCTTTACAAATGACTACAGGAAGCAAGAAGTCACTCGGTTGTTCTTACGTAACAATAAATCTCTCTATTCATTTGAAATCTAAGCAGTACGGCTTAACGACATTGACAATCTCGGAAAACAGGTTTGGGCTTCCTGAAAACCAAAATAGACCACAATCCGATTTATTCATATTAAAGGTCATCTGTTAACTCCCAGTAATAATATTTATTTTTCTTAATAATTTCTTTTATGCTCTGTCTTTCAAATTCGACTTCCTTTTCAAAGAAGTTGGCTTGTGAGTTTTTTATGAAGGGCAAGTACATGTACATATTCTAAAATGAGAGGCTAAGGACAAATAACTTTTTGTTATTAATCATCACCACCAATTACATGTGTTTTGTTACCTTCTGGGTCTACGTGAACTGTATGCTATGTTCCAAGAACTCAGCCTAGCGTTCATTTACTTCTTTGGATTATAGTTAATTTTGTAGCAATTAAGACTCACCAGAGTGAAGGCTGCTATTCAGTTTAGACTCATTTATTTTTTCAGCAAATATGTATAGAGTATATACTGCATACCTAGCATGTAGAAACAAGTGTCATTTGATGGAGTTGCTTTTAACTTATGTGAGTAGTCAGCCAAAAGAGGAGAGAGGGGACAGAAGTAAGGGAGAGATTTTATCCATCATTCTTTTCAATAAGCTCATGGTTGAGAATAAATGCAGAACCGGAGGTTTGAAGTTGATGCCCTTCAAGAAGGTGTTAGTTCCTGTGTCCTCAAAGTACCAGCATCTCACAACACTGAGGTTTTTCTAGCATTTTGTAAACATGTATTAAGCATTTAATACATGTCTGCTAAACACAAGCAACTTACATGTTTAGAGCCTAACTAAAGAAACAGCTATGTGGTTCAACATGAGAAAAATACTACCTGTGTTGAATTTATTGAAGATAAACTCCGGTCTTTGATATGTCATCTTTTCAAGGAATTTTCAAGAGTAATTTTAACTATAAAATGGTTCCTCTTATCCATGGGGGACACGTTCCCAGAACCCAAATGGGTGTCTGAGACTGCAGATAGTCCCAAACCCTACACATACCACGTTTTTTCCTATACACACATACCCATGATAAAGTTTAATTTGTAAATCAGTCATAGTAAAAGATTAAAAATAATAATAAAATAGAACAATGGTAACAATGTACCATCGTAACAGTTACGTGAATGTGGTCTCTCTCTAAACGTTTCTTACTGTGCTATACTCACCATTCTTCATATGGGATGTGAGATGACAAAATGCCTACATGCGGAGATGCAGGGAGGTGAATGACAGGCATTGTGACCTAGTGTTAGGCTACTATTGACCTTCTGATGATTCGTCAGGGAGAGGATCATCTACTTCCAGACCTCGGGGAATTGACGCCGTGGAAAGTGAAACCGCAGGTAAGTGGGGACTACTATAGACAATCAGAATCGCCCTGGTTATCAGATGTGATAAGACGTTATTCATCTGGACATGGGGGCTGAGTAATCAACATACAAGCAAAGATTAACCAGAGGCCAGTATCCTAAATAACAATGAGTATTCATTCACTAAGACGGCTAGGGTACTAATCAATCAACAGGAAGCAACTAAAATGTGCATTAATAGGGAGGCAGCTTAGGGATCATTTCAAGGAGAGTTTCAAAGGTATATACCTGAACAGGTGGAGCACAGGGATGTGCGGGCAGTGAAACTATTCTGAATATTGTAATGACACACATGACATTATCCATTTGTTAACATTTGTAAACCTGTACAATATACAGACTGAATCCCAATTGGACTATGGACGTTGGTTAACAATAATGTAATAGTATTGATTCAGTTGTAACAAGCAAACCACACTAACGTAAGATGTTAATAATAAGGGAAACTGCTGGGAGGTCGGGAGGGGCAAGAAAGAGGGGGTATATGGGAACTCCCTGGACTTCCGGCCCCAAGTTTCTGAAACCTAAAACTGCTCTAAAATAATAAGGTATATTAATGTAGAAAAGAAAGAAAGAAAAAGAAAGAAATCCACTTTAGATTAGTGGTTCTTAACTTCTGTAGTTTTGCCCCTTGGGGGACATTCAGTAATGTCTTACGACATTGTTTTTAAAGTTGTTTTTTTTTTTTTTTTTTTTTTTTTGAGAGAGAGAGAGTGCGCAAATGAGCGGGCTTGTGCACCTGTGAGCAGGGCAGGGGGGAGGGAGGGGGAGGGAGAGGGAGAGGAAGAGGGAGAGGGGGAGAGGGAGAGAGGGAGAGGGAGAGGGGAGGCGGAGAGGGAGAGAGGGAGCCGGGGAGGGAGAGGGACAGGGAGACGGGGAGGGAGAGGGGGAGAGAGGGAGAGAGAATCTTAAGTGGGTTCCATGCCTGGTGTGGGGCCTGATGTGGGACTCAATCTCACCACAATCAGATTATGACCAGAGCCAAAATCAAGAATCAGAGGCTTACTTGACCTAACCACCCAGGTGCCTCCCCGTATTTTTTAATCTTAAGTAATCTCCACACCCAGCACAGGGCTCACACTTAAACCCTGAGACCAACAGTCTCCTGTTCCACCAGCTGGGCCAGCCAGGCACCCCTTAAGACATTTTTTATAGTCACACTTGAAAGGAGGCGTTACTGGCATCTGCTGAGTAGAGGCCAGGATGCCACTGAACATCTATTACACACAGGATAGAGCCCTAACAACAAAGAATTACCCTGTCCCAAATGTCAGCAATGTTGAGTATGAGAAACCCTGACTTGAATTATTGTAAAACTCCTGATAATTCAACCCTTAAACTTTTTCTTCTTAAGCTTATTTATTCTTTTTAACCTTAT